ATTATCAGGAAGCATTACCAAAGAATACATGAGTTATTCTTTCGAATTACTTTAAATATCTCTTTGATAAATTTCAGAATTTATTTAACAGTAGCGTCGACAAAATAAATTTCTGTTCTACTAGTAGACGTACGGGCAGGCGGACGGAATTCATTTAGGCATAAGCTGTAGTTTTTCAATAAAAAAAAATACGCTAAAAACGGAAATTGTAGCTCTGCTAGCAACTATTATCTAGTACAAACCGACATATAAATGACCCAACCTGTGGTTTGTAGTTTCATTTAAAGTTATTTGCGACTTATATTAAAATCACAATTGAAGCACAAACGATTTCAAACGCGAAACTTATGGAATTGTGGGGGAAAATATACATGGTGTTAATTAATTGAGTGTCGATAATACAGGGTGTGAATCCCCGGGTGATTTTAAGGAGAAAAGTTTATATCAACATATGTTCTAAACTTAATAAATAAAATTGTCAGTTCAAACCCCGTACGGACGTCACTGGTGAAAATTTAAAAAAATCTTTTACGTCAAAAAATGCTCCTTAATGATGAAGAGGTGTGTACAAAATTTCATAAAAATATCTAAGCGTGATAAAAAATTATGATAAAAAACTCACTTTTTTCTTAAAATTTTAACACCCTGTAGCTCAAAAACTAAGAGGTTTAGGACATATGTTGATATAAACCTTTCTCCTTAAAACCCACCGAATATTCACACCTCGATTCACACCATGTATTGCCGGAACTCAATTAATTAACACCCTGTATATTCTCCCAAACAATTCCTGCTCAGACATTCAAAAACCCAGCGACGCGGATGGTCAACGGGTCTCATATAACAGTGAAAATAAGGCTTATTTCTCTTATGGAATGTTGCCTCATCTGAGAATACATTCTGAAAAAATGTACGATCTTGAAAATCAACATTGCTGAGTTCTGACGCAAATAAAAATGTGGTAGGCATGAAAATGATTTGTCTTCAATATTGTCAGGGCTGCTTTTGAGAAAATACAAATGCTAGAAGAATTTTCTGTAACAATTGAGTTACAAGTGGTTCCCTATTTCGACTTCGCTGAATCCGATTCTGCCTGTTTCCAAGTCTGAAAATGGGCCGGAAGGGTGATATTAAAGATGGCGTCCAATATAATGCACTTCCGTATTCTACGTCTAAAATGCCCGATTTTTACAGTTCAAGAGCCTGGTCCCACGTTTTTGTGACCAAGGAACACGATAATAGAATTGTCAAAAATGAGGAGGGAAGTAAAAAACAGTCATTTTTCATATTTGGGCCAAAATGGTGCTAAAAATTCCAATTTTTCTACCTTTTTTGGGGAATTTTTGAAAGAAAAAAATTCTGGGAACGAGGAGTGCTATTTAAGGTACTAGAACGTCACCTGAAGCAAGATTTTGCACGGGGGGATTTGGTTCAGACGTGTTGACTCATAGGTCACTGAATATCAATATACATGTAAAAATCTATTTTGTGAACCCTAACATAACAGGTGAGTCATTCCACGTCCAGGGGAATCACCGAACAACTCACAGTCTTGTCTTTTACAGTATTTTTTTTTGTACGTTAGGGACAGACTTTATCCTCTCAGATGGTTGCAAAATGAATGCCAATTTGTTAGGTGGTACAAAATATGAATCCTAACTTTTGACAAGCATGATAAGAGGAGAGAACAGAGGACAGAAAGGCAGAAAGCAGGGCAGTAGTTGGTAAAAAACGGTTCCTTTTGTTGAAACCTTTCATTAGAATACCATAAAGGGTAGAACATGTGTTTACCCCCCCCCCTCCCAATTTTCTAAAGTTTAACTTGGCACCACTACAGGCATGCGTATGCAAAATCTGAGAGAAATTGGTTGTCGTATGTAAAAGTTACGCACGTTTTACTTTCAAAAACAGTATCTCAGAAAATAATTCGGGGGGGGGGGGGCCTTTTAAACAGAGAAATTCGGTAGCCGTCTGGCACACCTTCAAGGTATAGGCTACATACTGCAAAACATTCCAGAATTCTAGCACCATTCCCCTAGGCTAGAAGTAGTTCGAAACGGCAGCAGTGGGTCCGGACGGACGGACAAAACGCAAACAATAGCACATTTTTTTCATTCTTGTGCTAAAAAAGAATGTGTTGAGCACAAATCAGCATAAACTCGGTAACTAATCAGTGCGCAAGATATTTAAGCCGCAGCTAGTAGAACATCTAGAAGTGGACGGCATGTTTTGCTGGCAAACTTTTTACGGCCCAAATTGGTACAACGTAGCATTAACCAACGCACCTAGTACACTGATTAGTGCAACCAATGTTTTGCTACACTTTACGGATCTGCAGTCATGTGATCAATTCTTTGCAATTTGTACCACGAGACAAGGAAGTAATTTCTAGATAAAGACAAATCCCCCGAAATATGCAGATATTAATAGACATTTTGCGGTTAGGGTTTGGTAATTATAAGAACCTCTCGTTTACACCAGCTTCATAAAATACGAAATAAGACCCTTTTGTCTGATATAATCGTCTGGCTGCATTTCTGAAGTACCTAATAATGCTAAATGTGCAAACGAGAGAAAGAACATTAAATGCAAATACAGTTTTACTGACTTTCCACTTAATTATGCGGTTAATATTTCCTTGTTTTCCATTTTAAGGCGCCAATATAGTACATGACTACTGAAACTGAAATATGCAATTGCTGTTTGAAATATGTACCACTAAACACGAACATCGCTCTGGTTTGATTTCAATGCGCTTCCCTGTATTTATCGATTAAGACATGTTGATATGCAATTCTGAATGATGAAAAATCGGAGACTTGGACACATATTTGCGTAGTATTTGTAATAAAAGTGTCTCCGTTCGTTACGATAAGAGCGTTATCGCTGAGTAGGCTAATTAGTTTCAAGATAAGCACGTGTTATCTCAGATGTTTTTTCACTGTAGGGAACACACCTGTTTGATTTATTCGAAGATGCAGGTGGAACTAGAACGGAAAGAGGATTTACGTCAATATCAAGATTTTCGGCGTGAAGGAGGATGGGTGTGCCCTAGAAAAATTATAATCCTTTGTGTTTAATTGAGCCAGCTGGACATGTGTTTTGTGGGTGGTTTCGTGACCGTTTGCTATTCCACATAGCAATATATTTAAAAATTGTCGAACAATTATTTCAAGTAGGAAATGCAACTCACATTGTGTTTTATCTAATTTTTTCCCCGCACTTCAGGAGTTCACTATCTTGAGGCATGAATTTTGGGAAATCTGTGAAAAATGAGAAAAGTCTTAAAATTCTTTAGTTTTTTAGAATCGTCGGATGCGTCTGAATCTTAAGATTATTTGAATTTGTCTGATACTTCAAGAAACGGAATGTTCCTTAGAACCTGTAAACGTACTTCGTATTTTTCAATTTTCTCACTTTTCAAACTTGCCCTCGAACTTGCCCGATTTCGTCATATTCTTTCAATACTTGATCGGGTATTGAAGTTCTTCTGTTTCTCTGGAGGTTTCGGATTCCTTCATTCATTTTTCGTAAGATATTTCATTTTTTTGGATGTTCTTTATTTCTTTAATTTTTTCTATGTTTGTAGAAATTTTTCAGATCTTTCTAATCCGCCAGATTGTCCAATCCTTTAGATTCGAACTTTTCCATTTCTTAGAATTCATCCAAATTCTTCAGATCTTCAAATTCTTTCCTTCCTTCTAATCATTCAGTTCCTATCCTTGAGATCTTTGGATGTTCTGTTTTCTTTCACATCACATTCTCAAGATCTTTTAGAATTTGGAAAACGCGCTAAAGTGACTCGCCCTAAGACGAAAACCTCTTTATCATGTTTTATATTCTTAGCATTATGGAGATTCTTTCGTATTTCGAATTTTTCACCAACCCATTTTCACAAATTCTTCGGTTTCCTTAAACCACGTGCTTAAACCTTCCGGTTTCGTCAAATTTTGCAATTTCCACAATCCACAATCTGCTTCCGTTTTGCAATTAATAATAATAATAATAGTCTTTATTTGTACATAACTGTATAAAAGTATATCTTTTAATTCTAATTAATTCTTGTAATTCTTTTATTTAAACTCCGATTGGCCCATTTCCTTAGATCCAGATCTTTCAAACCTTTTAAATTTCTTTTGTGGGTGGTATAGCTGACCGGACGCCATTGCGAATCACGAATCTCCGTAGAAATAAGAAATGCTGGAAATGTTTTTTTCATTTTTCAAATGATTTTCAGAAAAACTCGCAAGAAATTAGCGTTTCAAGTCAATGCCTGAAAAAAATTGGGACCTTCCGTTGGTGAGCCCGGAATGAAATTTTTGGTAGTCTTAGACCGAATCCCTTCAAAAACTTCCCAAACTAATTCTTTCCAATTTTTTGATTAATTAATTGACGCCTTTTTCCATATGACGTTTAATAATCACGACGATAGTATTATAGTAATTGCACACTGATCATTCAATTTCCTTTTGGCATGCAATAAATAAACACCGTATTTATTCGAAATTTCTGGCTTCCCATGCGAGAAGGAAATCAAAGTTTAGATCAGCTTTTTACTTGAAAAAAATATCAAAATAACGCTACATAGCACACATTGTTGACATATAGATTCGTCCCAAGCTTTCAGCGCTTTATGAAACCACTATAATCTTTATATCGAGCACTAAGTCGTCATCATAGATTTTATCTCGTATTAAGGGTGCAACCTATTTTCCACAAATTGCTTACGTTAGGAGTTGGATGTTTTACCGTATTGAGTGAAAGAAGTTTTTACTCCCCGCTATCGGCGAGCGAGATGCACCTGTACGCGCCCTTTTCACGAACTCCAAACAAACATGAATGGGAAAGTAATTAAAGCGGAGTAATAAACAGTTTTGAAATATGGGGAAAACGCTATTTTTAGCTGGTCTGCGTACCTACCGCGATTAAATCCACGCAACACAATAATTGACTGACGTATGCATGCAACTTAAAAATTTAAATAGGTAATGAGTACTTACTTGGGAATAGATGTCGATGTCCTTGTAAGGGTTGACAGCTACCAGAATTGTGCCAGTGTATGTCTTATAAAGTTAAGGCTGCTATACAAACATGTTAATAGGTAAAATACCACCGGGAGGTAAATTGCTCGTCCATTAATGCAATTTCTAAAGTTCTAACCAAAAAGGGATCAATGCAGTGCGCAAGGTGAACAAGTTAAAAAGTAATCGTAAACGATTTACATAAAGCGCATTTCCACTTGCATTCATTTCCCATTTGTAAGATGCAACTTCTGTTAAAATCGTAAAATCCGGCCACAAATATGAAAGATAGCGTTGCACATGGGCAATCCATTTTTGACGTGCTACTTCAATTTCAGTTTATGAGTAGAATTTCATTTCAATGCTTTTCTAAATAAGAAAGTTGGAACTGCGCATGCGCAAACCTAAATTTTAAAACTAATGTTAGATTTTCCTTTGTTCCAAGGGCCTAAGTATCAAATTTCACTTAAATGGTGCCATAGATAAAAAAGTTGGCACTGCGCATGCGCAAAAGAAAATGGTGAGACTGGCGCTCGATGATCCTTTATTCCAAGTGCCTATGTATCACATTTCATTTAAATTCTTCCATAAATAAAAAAGTTGGCACTGCGCATGCGCAAAGCCAAATTTTGAAATTGGCGTTTGATTTTCCTTTATTCCAAGTGCCTATGTATCAAATTTCATTCAAATACTTTTATAAGTAAAAAAGTTTGCAATTCGGTTAATAAATGGTCGAGATGCGAAAAGGGCACTGTGAATTTTGAATCGATTCGATTCAACTTTTGGCATTGCGTATTATATGGCTAAAGCTATGCCCATATGGAATTTCATGCAATTCAGTTCATAACTAACGGAGATGTAAAAGCGATCGAACATTTCTAAACAAAGTTATCGTTCACACGGACAGATAGATGGACAGACCGACAAAGGAACAGACGGACAGACCAGCATGCAGACGACAGATAGCAATGCAAAATTATAAACGATCTCTAGGATCGTTAATAAACGGCAAAAGTGTAAAATTATAGAACATGTAAAAATAGTATATTAAGATACAAGTGTATAATCAAGTCTTTAAAGCACGCGCAACGAGTTTAAGGGCACGACGCAAAGCGGAGTGCCTTTAACGTTGCAAGTGCTTTAAAGACCAATTATACACGTGTATCTTATAGTATTTTTATTATACCTGCAGTATAATTTAAAAATAGGAAATACAATGAAATCATATTGACGTTATACTCGAATACATGTCTAATTAAGTGGGCTGGGTGTTCGTAATTTCACGATTGCCACGGAAATGTCACTTGACGTTTGCTTATAAAAATCTACGGGGATTTAAGATAATTCAACCGGTTTAACCGGGTTGGTAGATTTTGCTATGGTTACAATTATTGAGACAATTGTTTCTATGGTGATTTCTACCAACCCGGTTAAACCGGTTGAATTATCGTAAATCCCCATCGTCTTTGTGAATTAAACGATTTCCGTTGAAAAAGATAATACACCGTCCATTAAATCGATTGTTGTAAAATCTAAACACACGTTGGTAGGTGTAAAATCCAAATCCAGTAAAGCCTATTATAAAGAATATGAAAAGTTGTTTCCATGGATGGAATAGGAAGTTACTTACGAATAAAGTCTTAAATGCATCCATAATGCTGGAATATATGAAGGAAATGTCAAAGGTATTTAAATCTTCTATATTTTGGTGCATTCATTCAAAACTTTAAAGCAGTGCTGCGATTAAAAAGTGGAACAGATTTGGAAGCATACCCTAAATTACGCGCGTTTGTGAAAGCTTCAACCAAAGGATAGGTACAAAAGCCAAAGAAATGTTCTGCATTTACAGAAAGCGACCTAGAGGATTTTTTATTTCATCCAGATGACAGTTTCAAAAGTCATACTTGAAGTATCGTTACTTAGCAACTTTAAAGCACGTGTGTTTTAAAGGCCCTTTTTCGCACGCATTTGAGTGTTTAAAACGGAGATTGTGATTCAGGTATAATAAAAACGGTTTTTTGTTTTTTTACAATAACTTTATTTGTAGCGGTACAGAAAAAATTCCTTCCTTGGTACAAGACTCGACACCATAACGAACCAAATAGCGAAAAAAGTAGAACAGCTCTTAAGATAAAGAACTAGTAGCGTCGCAAAACGAGCGGACGCGCTGACGGACGGACGGACAAAGTGGCCACAATAGCGCATTTTTTTTTATTTTTGTGGAAATGCGCTAAAAACGGAATGAGGCAAATAATGTAACCATTAACAGTTAATTTAGCAATCGCTCGTGGGGTGCTTCTTAGAGGCTTAATCGGTCAATTAATAACAAATTTTCATGATTAATTTTCAAATTGTCATGATTGATGATGATTGTGACCACTCGTTTTGATCAGTCCAATGCAATCTGAGAAATAATAAAAATTGTAATAAATAAATATCTACTATTAACTATACTGATGTAACAAATAAAGATCTTTACTATATACAACTGGGAGTCGGTGTTTATCATCGTTACTAATTAAAGGTCTTGATTTAATTTTTTGTTGTAAAAGGATCACATCTAAAGTTTTACAGTGTAACGGAAGTGTTAACAATTTTTGGTTTTTGAATGTGGGCTTGCAGGATTCTAATGGCTTTAAAATTGATTTGTATACTAGTACTAATTATATGTATGTATGTATGGTTTGGGTCACACTTCCTAGGTACAGACGTTTTCAGATCGCATCAACAACCGTGTGTGTGTCCTAACGACAATCGTGGTATGACTGCCGAGACCGTCAGCTTTACATGCCCTCCGAAGCATGGTAGACAGGTGATGAGTACCACTAAAAACTGGCAAGTTGTGGGATTCGAACTCACCACTTATGAGGTTGTCCGAGTCATAAACCGTTACTTGTTATACTTGATTTTAATTATGATGTTTGAGTAGTATCCCCCTAGTGTCTCGGATACGTTAAATTTAAACCATTGAACTGCATGGTTCAAAGTTCCTATTAAAAATTTTAATATTGCCTGATCTACCTGAAATGTACATTTTTTGTATTCTAAATAGAAACACGACATAGACAAGGGCATTAGAATTTGTTTTGGAGCTAGCCGTCGCGTTGGTCAAATAATTTGTATTAGAAAAAAATTATCAAAATCCTCGTGTGAGATCGAAGGGACCTCAGCACATTTTTGTGTGGCAGATCAGTATTCTATTAGCTAGGTTTGAATCCACTATCAATAAGATCTTGTCGGAGGCTACCACATTCCCTTTGTCGTTACCCGCTTCCGACGTCCCGTTCACCCGCAATTCGCGTTTGAAGTTTTGAAAAAAATTACATCACGCAGGACTGATGCGCGTTTACAAGAACCAATATGAAAACAATCGAACCAAAAATGTAGAAGAAATGAAAAATTGGGCATATACCGCAACTTCGTTGTGTTACTGACAAATCACCACGTTAGTATAACACGCTCGGGAATGGCGCCCAGATGTCGCCGACCCCACATCCCGTAGGGCTGTCCCTAAAGTTGTTAATTACACGGCCCCGTAGGCACATGTGAACTCCTCGTCTTTTTACAAGCGTTCTTGTACTTTGCTGCTAGCCAGTTGGCCAAAGTGAGCATAAAAGCTACATTTTTACGAATAAATTTACAAAAATGCGCTATTGCCATTACAGTAGGAAAAGCCTTAGAAAAAAATGTATTGCTAATTTATTGCTGTAGCGTGTAATTTATTGCTCCACCCATTTGGCAGAATTTTAGTTAGTGGTGCTAGTTTAACATTATACCTGAACCCCTGTGAATGGGTAAAATGTATTTAGACTCGAAATAAATTACAAACGATGATTGTAACATTTTTTACTACTTTTTTCATTAGTAACAAGTTCTATATTACTTGCTTAATAACATAAGTAAAGTAGCATAAATAAATCAATTGCCGTTACGGTTTTAATGCTCCACTCTCTATATTAATTACTTACTAAATTGCAAGTATAGAATTAATTGCTCCATTCATAACTTTGCTCAGTAAATGGCAACTGTTGGCGGTGCCAGCTACTTGTAAAGCTGCCAATTCTCCTGCACCCTCAATTTGATAAAAAATCTGGCAAATGGACGGAGCAATACATAAAACAACTAAATTTAGAGCATATGAAAAGGTTTCCATTATTTTCGAAACATTGATAGCACCTTCTCGCCGTCAATTCTAACACTCTAGCCAGGATTTGTAGAGTCATGCTAGCAAATGCTTTCCGAACTGACCCCTCAGTTCTTTTTCAAAGTTTTGCTGATTTAAACACGATTATTACTGAAGCCCCATACGAGGAAATGAAAAGAGGCTATATCGTGTAAACGCGCTGGCCAGGGTGTTTCCGAATACGTGCTTTTCTGGAAATCTAATTGAAAGATAATCCCGAGCGGCTATAGAATTATATGCAGGTGCACCATCTTGCTGTATCCAACAGTTGCGAACTATCACTAAGGGCATAGAGCGTCCTCTTAATCTTTTGCAGTGCTTTTTTTGTGATATTGGCACGTTTGAACATTAACTAAATGCATAACAATTTTATCTATTATGTTTTCTAATGAAGAAAAGCTTCAAGACAATTTTCAGTGATTTGCAAACGCTATCTGATACAGTAGTTTCTTATTTAAGAACAAAAGTTTTTAATACAAATTTTGAAAAAAAAATTTACAAAATCAGAAAGGGTACACCACGATCTTAGAATCTGGAAATGTCTAATTAGCCTTACGGATATTTTTACTGTTAGATTTGTAAATTGCAAATTTATTATTTATATATAAAATTTGGAATGCAAGAGCGCTTTGTTTGCTTACAAATACTATTTTAACATCTTTCTCTATTTGGAGAATTATGGTACCGGTTACAGTATATGAATAATAAATTAACCTCTGTATAATGCTTTAAACGTACATCAAATCAAACGACAAAATCTATCACAGGTCGATGTCATCGTATCGTACACGAGATGTTCGTGCGCAACTAAATTAGGAAACTCAATAGAAAATTTCCCGAAGAAATTTCGAACACACCT